CAAACAGCTGAAAATTTTTAAAATCGGACGTCCCATGTAACGGTTATTTGAGAAATACGAAATTTTGGATAACCCAGTAAATACTATAGCTGATTTATTCTAAATTGATGTTTGCAATAACTCTTTAGCAAAAAATACGTCTATGATAAAATTTTGGAAAATGGACGTGGCACCGCCCTCTATGATCACATATGTCAATTTCTACCAAACTCGGAATGATTATTGTACTTGCCACTTAAAAGCAAAACATTGAAAATTATTGAAATCGGACTAAAATTACGGCCATTTTTCATATAACGGTAAATTTCCGAAATGCTTGAAACTTCGATACTTCCATATTTCGAAATTTAAGGACGCTTATTTACTCAAAATTGATACAAACAACAATCCCTTGAAAAGAAGTAACATTATTATAGAATTTTGGAAAGTGGACGTGATACTGCCCACATATAACTATATAAGTTTATCGAAGATGTTTGAAATAGGGATAAAACCACCCCTGCTTACCACGTAGCGGTAGTTTTCGGAAAGGTGAAAAAAACTATGTTTANAAAAAGGTTTTTTCTTAACAGCGGTCGTCCCTCGGCAGGCAATGGCAAACCTCCGAGTGTATTTCTGCCATGAAAAACAGCTTCTCATTAAAATACAATCGCCGTTCGGAGTCGGCGTAAAAATGTAGGTCCCTCCGCTTTGTGTGACAACATCAAGGCGCACGCCATAAGTCGGAGGAAAAGCTCGACCAAACACTAATATATGTGTAAGCGCCAATCTATTATTATATTACTTATTATGTCTGACGTTTTCTTAAAATTTAAGCCCCGTGTAAATAGGCAACCCTACGTCATATCGGCAAAATATGCTGCACGTAAATTCATGTCACCTTGACCTTCAATCTCTTCAACTTTTTTTTTTTAAGCTTTATATACGATTGTTTATTAGGAAAAATTGAAAAAGCAACAAAGTCTAAGCGGTAGAAGTTATAGCAGCTATGTATGTATTTCGGAGATCACCCCATCTCCTCATCAGACTTCTTTTTCTAGGCTTCAGCAGGGATCGAACCTGCGTAATCGATGTGCAAAGTCAGAAGCGTTAACCACTGAGCTATGTACACCCCGTAAACTCTTGTTGCTAATTCATTTTCCTTATTCAACCAACTACTATCAAGTGCAGCTGATTTGCCGCTATTTAAACTCGACAGCGTGGTTGTTGTTGTCAATTCTATACATCCATTTGCTTATTTGCTTTTTTGTATAGTTTCAGGCAGGCTCTTCCTAAACTATGTATTTGTCAATGTTATTGTGGCTTGTTAACATTTTATTTTTAATATTTTTATTGAGCTTTGTACCACGATTGTTTATTAGGAAAAATTGAAAAAGCAACAAAGTCTAAGCGGTAGAAGTTATAGCACTATTTCGGAGATCACCACATCTCCTCATCAGACTTCTTTTTTCTAGACTTCAGCAGGGATCGAACCTGCGAATTCGATGTTCAAAGTCAGAAGCGTTAACCACTGAGCTATGTACATCCCGTAAACTCTTGTTGCTAATTCATTTTCCTTATTCAACCAACTACTATCAAGTGCAGCTGCTTTGTCGCTATTTAAACTTGACAGCGTGGTTGTTGTTGTCAATCCTATACATCCATTTGCTTATTTCCTTTATTGTATAGTTTCAGGCAGGCTCTTCCTAAACTATGTATTTGTCAATGTTAACTTTCAACCAAATCCTTAGAGGTCGTGCATAGTGATAGAACTTTTTAGAAAAGTATCGATACTAGTACTCATATAGAATACCCTAAAAAAGTATCGATGCCAGTACTCATGTTTGCAAAAAAGTATCGATAATACTCGTACTTCCAAGTATTCTCAGAGCAAACGCAAAAGTAAACAAAAATCAGATTGCTTTGGTTTTTCAACCTCTTCCTATTTGTAAATTGAATAGTTACTGCTCTTAATAGTTTTTATCTGATCCAAAGGCAGTTTTGGAATAAACTTCCGATAAATTAGTTTTACATGCGTAAATCAAATGTTTATAGCAAAAAGCTTATTTCCAAGTTTTTAAAGGCAAATATTTTATATGTAATTGTTTGACGCGTACATGTATTTATAAATAACTTTACTTTGAAAATGAAATGCAAATGTAGAGAACGAGAAGCAAATGTGGTGAAGCCCATTGTCTATTGGAAAGATAAGCTCTCTTTCATAAAAATTGTCTTCAAGAATGGGCTGGATTTCACAGCGAAGGTAGAATACATGGGGTGCCTTATGCTGGAGAGTAGCCAAGTTGTCGAGTCGGAAGATCATCCTCTTCCACCATTCATTATCAAAGGGGAGGCAAGATATTCGTTTTTCAATTATTTAAACATTTTTACCCGAAGCCAATGTTGCAATGACCGCTACAGATTGTGTAAAAATTTCATAACTGTGGCAATTACCTGTAGCTCACTAAAACAAAACATGTATTAATTATTAGTATGGGAGTATACTAGGAATGTTAATCCCGGGATCCCGGTATTTTTTAAGTCCCGAAAATCACGGGATTATTTGCCTAGAATCCCGAGATTTTCGGGATTTGTAATTTATATTGGTGGCAATAATAGAAACGCTTTATGTTGACCAGTTTTGCCTATATTTCTTTTGTTTATTTAATATTTAACATTTTTTTTATAAATGTGTAGCTCAATATACATATAATACCTTGCGGCAGGCAATTTTGCACAAAAAAAATCATTATATTCGCCAAACCAAGGCCAAATATAGTAAAATTGCGTTCTTAATTTTTCTCTCTGCCGTCAGGATTTTTAGTAAAATTGCGTTCTTAATTTTTCTCTCTGGCGTCAGGATTTTTTAAAAGAACTTTGAAATTTGAAAGATATGAGTAATTCAAAAAATTATTTAATAATTTCAGTGCAATATACTTAAAAAAACAGTATGGGTATCAAATGAAAGAGAAGATTATGTAAAGTTAGAACACATTATATTTTTTGGTCCGTAAGGGACGGGTGGGTATTGATTTTATAACTTTATCCTTGAATATTCTTGAAATTTTTCAATTCTTATTTTTGAAAAAATTTTATGTTAAGGACTAACTTTATTAGCTTAAAAATATAAAATAGATTAAAGGGGCATTTTCAATTCCTATTCGGCCTTATGAACGCAAAGAAATTATTTCATTTGGTACCCATATTTTTGTTTTACATTGCACTGAATTTTTTTAAATAAATTTTGAAATTAACCATTCTTTGAAATTATAACGTAACCGACATTTTTTTCAAAATATTCGTTTTTATGCAGAAATGCATCTAGATGCTCTAGGAATATTTCTGCATCAAAAAGAAAATTTTGAAAAAAATGTCGCTTACGTTATTTTGGCGGTGAGGGCTCAATAAAGTCTTTTTAAAAAAATCATGACGTCAGAGAAATGCCCATTTATATGCAGTTAATTATGTGTAATGTGAGGTAGACTTTTATAAAAAAAAATTGAATTTTAGATAAACAAAAGGAATATAGACAAAACTGGTATAATTAAGGCGCTTCTTTGATTTCTGCCACTAGTGTTATGAAGTTCTTTCAACCAGAAAATAAATTTTTTTACTTAATTTTTTTTTTGCATCGAGATACAAACACACTAAGGTATTATTAAATGTATATAAATTTAATTACTGTCTTTCGTTTTGTTACTTATGAAATAATTTTCACTTTAAATAAAAAAGTACGTTCCAAACCCATTTACTTATTATTTATATTAGGAGAGCTACTCAAACCATATTGATGCAATTTTTTCATGTTGAGTCGTTGGAAAATAATAAATATCTAAATCCCGGGACTGATCCCGGGTTGAACCAACGACATCCCGAAAATCCCGGGATCGTAAAAATCTAAAAAATTAACATCCCTAGAGTATACATATCGTCGCCCGTATGCCATAAACATGAATGTGTAAAAATAAAACTTTTGGGAAATCAAGTTTGAAAGTTTTTTTGCGAGACTTAGCTCTACATTTATGCAATTAAAATTGTAAAATATTTACTTTCCGTGTACGCATGGTATTCTGGGTTTTGGTATAACAAAGAAAATCCAAAGATTAACCAAGTCAACCCAATAACTCCAAACAGATAAATTTGCACGTTCATGCTTCTGGCATGGGGGTACCGATATGTGAATTAAAAACTTTAAAGGCGGGTTTCTCGGGGTTTCGGTTTTTTGAGTTATGACAGTATTGAAGTAAATGAGCTCTATGTTCGTTTTCATAACATTCCTATTGGATATTGAAGTTAATATTCGAACGTTCGCCACAATATTTATTAGGTAATTTAAAAAAAAAAATTACTTAAAAAAGTTCTTAACTCGTCGATACTTTTCGGCATTCGCGATATTTACTCAGTACTTGTGAAAAAGTATCGAGTTCACGATACTACTCAGTACTCATGAAAAGTATTGATATTCTGTACTCGGTACTCGTATCGTTCTATCACTAGTCGTGCACAGAGGTAGCCGCGGTGACATGAAATGCCTCTATACGTACCCAAATCGCTAATTAGTTTTTTTTAAGGGGAAAACCACACAGGCCTGTGTTATTTTTTATTATGTACTTGGATGTGAAATAACACATTTTCTAAAAATTTTTTAAAAATTTCATCACTGCTATAAAACTTGAAAAGGAGGAAATTTTTGCTCAAAAGTAGGACAGAGAAGGACAAAATTTTTGATGAGGGCGAATCACGTTTGACTTAATGACTAATGACTTATTACTCAGATAAAACGTAAATCTTATTAAGCGGCTAAATATAATTTTCTTTAAGCCTAAACCACGGAAATAACTGGTAAAAAGGATCAACGTCACTTAGTAAACACCATGTTAGAATTGGAAATACATTTGTTAACAGCTGACTACGATCTCGTGTTGCCTCCCTGCCGTAGTTTAGTACTATTGCGTTCTGTATTCTATAGTATTTATATTTATTTTATTCCTAAATTCATTACCAAATCACCTCTTTCGCAGCCGGGTCATCGCGTGCCCCGCTACTCGCTGATCAATTGGGGAATTTGTGTGCCCAATGCTTGCACCTATCAAGATGTGGAATATACTGTGCAGGACTATTTGAATAATATGACCAGCTCCACGGGCATTTCGTTTCAAGTGCGCGTTGAGCCGAAATTGTGTCAGGTGCGCGACAATAAGACGTGGGATCGTAACACAACATGGGCCGTGTAAGTAGAAGCGCAATGCGACACTAGCTCTTTCTTAAGACTCTTCTCATTTCAAGTACTTTCTTTATTTCAGCCGCTTTTTTCTCATTATTCTTTCCGTGTCCGTGCTATCCACTATCTATGAACGCTGTACTAAACCTGGCCAAAAACCAAGTAACACGATTTGTTTTTTTTTTCCTTTAATAATCGATATTTTAACAAATGATCTTTTAACAGATGAATGGTGTACTGCCTTTTCGCTGGATAAAAATCTTCGTTGGCTCTTCAGCACAAACTACTCTCCCAACGATATTGAAGCGGTGCATGGCATACGATTTTTGAATGCAGTTATGTTGCTCTTCTCTCATAAATCAATGGCTATGTTTTTCAATCCTTACAATAATAGAACTGAAATGTCTGAGGTGTGTACATATATATATAGCTCACCTTATAAATATTTAAACATTGTTTTGTAATCACATGTTGTTGTTACAGAGTTTGGGTCGCCCTTGGACAGTTATTGGACGCGCCGCATCGCTTTATACCGACCCATTTCTACTTTTTAGTGGCATGCTTACTGCTTACTCACTTTTCGGTCGCCTGTTCAAAGGCCAGCCGATACGTCTGCGAAATGAATATATTAGCCGATTAATGCGGTGAGTTTAGTTTGTCATTTTCTTTCTTTTGCTTCAGCGATCACACCCGCTTTAGGGCATAGAACGTTCTACTACATATTGGCAAATATCATGAATTTTTTAGTGTTTTTTCGTTTTATTATGCTCAACTAACTTTTTCCTGTTCGACAGATTCACTTTTAAGCAGGGACCGTAATCGCTATGATTTTTATAATAAAACTCATAAATTAATCGTTATTTTGTGATTTTTATTTTTTAATCATTTTTTATCGTTATTTTATGATTTTTTTTTGATCATCTTTAATCGTTATTTTGTGATTTTTATTTTTTTGATCATCTTTAATCGTTATTTTATGATTTTTATTTTTTCGATCATTTTTAATCGTTATTATGTGATTTTTATTTTTTTGGTCATCTTTAATCGTTATTTTATGATTTATGTTTTTTATTTTTTCGATCATCTTTAATCGTTATATTATGATTTTTATTTTTTCGATCAAAAATAACAGTTATTCTTAGTTTTATTCGGTTTTTAGTAACATCCAAAATACTTAAGTTAATAGCACGTTGATACATAGTTACTACAATACTTAGCACTTAATTTATAGTAAATAAAATTTTGCCCATCACTGGTATCAATAATGCAATCACCCTCAATGAATCAAAGAATTTTTGTTTTCATTTTCCTGCTGATCTTTTTTTGTGTTCTTGAGGTTATCTTAGGTCAACGCTTGTTGCTTTAATTGTCAACACTATGTACAAGCTTTTTTGGTTTTCTAGGATCAGACAAGATTAACCCTGAAAATATATTCGAAAAAATAAATATCATAAAATAACGATGAAAAATGATCGAAAAAATAAAAATCAAAGAATAACGATTATTTTTGATCGAAAAAAAATCGTAAAATAACGATTGGAAATGATCTAAAAAATAAAAATCAAAGAATAACGATTGAAAATTATCTAAATATAAAAATCAAAGAATAATGATTGAAAATGATTTAAAAAATAAAAATCAAAGAATAACGATTATTTTTTATCGAAAAAATAAAAATCATAAAATAACGATTAAAAATAACATAATAAATAATAATGATCGAAAAATAACGATTATACAATGATTTTTAAATGAAAATCCTTCATGATAACGATTATTTTCGGTCCCTACTTTTAAGAGCATTTGCAATGTAAATATTGAATAGTGTAAAGAACAAAATTAAAGAACAATCGAAAGCAAATGTGTGTTAATGAGGCAAATAAAATCGCTAAACTATAGAAACTACTAAAATTCATAAGAAACTAGTAACTGAAGTAAAAGTAAACCTAAGCTCTTTTATTTGCGAATTTTTCGTGGATAGCCCGTCTACATAGTCGATTTTAAACCGAAAACTAACATTTTTTATAAACAGGTTATATTTTGTTATGCCTGTTTGGCTGAAATCAGTAACAGGGTCTTCATATATGTCAAATACTGATCCTAACTGTTTGCAAGACTTTTTACAGTAGGTCTGCAGTTGTACTCAAAATGCACTGTTTTGATGCTTGAAAAAGAAATCCCTTAAGTACCTATCCCAACTACTATAGTACTTAATAACACTATGTATATCAGTTCATAATTTGGAAAATGGTTTTGATAGTTATGACCTGACTTAATTGGGGCATTCTTCATTCAATGGGGACGTCATTTATGGGGGTAACTCTAATTTTCAAGATAACGGTATACGAAGTTTCTCTTAGGCTGTGTATAGCATACAAAACCTTCTAACTGAGAGGAATTTTTAAGCTCGAAAACGTTGAATATCACCAAGAATATTTGTATACTTATACTTCCGTACACGGCCAAAAATTTGGGTTTAATTTTTAAACCGAGCTGGGACTGCTGCCTTTTTTAATCTTCCGTAGTCTACTTCTTAAACCAGTCAATAGTTTTAAGCAATTTTTAATATATTCTGGTTTAAATTTTAGTCCAAGCAGCCGAGAAAATGATGTTTTGCTATGAGTGGTTTAAAATTAAAACCAAAAAGGTCATGGTTTCAAGTATAGGCCCTATTTGTTTAAAAATCAAACTGAAATGTTTTAGTTCTAGTTTCTAGGTTTCATATATAGAAAATTTTGTTTAAAATCTAAACCGAAATAGAAAATGTTTGCCTCAATATTCCTTATTTTATATGATCTATAAGACTTAGGCATAAGGGTGTCTCTCACAGAGAGAGCAAATCTTATGAACTGTCGGCATCAACGCAGCGAAATGTGGTGTTGATTCAAACTCAACATATGAAAGCAAATTTACATGCATGGCTGTAGCTGAGTGTGCAAAGATGCTTGATACAATTGGTTGCTACTAAGGCTGTCCGGGTTCAATCCCCATCAGACGGACCATGTAAAAGCTTTCGTGAATTGTAACGTGAAGCAAACGAAGTAGAAAATGTTTGGGCTTAAAATTTAAACCGAACTGTTTAAATTCTAAACCCAACACATCGACTGCTGAGTGGCCTATCTCGGCAGCCAGTTCGAAAACGCCCTATTTCATAAAACTTTTCAAGAACGCCTTATTTCAGAATTTTATTTAAAAAGGCCCTATCTCAAAATTTGGTTGAAGAACGTCCTATGTCACTTCAAAATGTATTGAAAATGTACTGAGAAGTCTTTTGAAATAGGGCGTTTTCGAACTGGCTGCCGAGATAGGTCGATCTTCCACTCAGCCGTCGATATTTGCTCTCTCTTTTTTTTACACTTGGAAGGTTTGTATTTGATACTAAATTTAGTTTGTACATATATGTAGTCCAATAGTTTAAAATTAAAACCGAAATTTTTACCCGTGTACTTATAACACCTTCATAACCTTCTAAGGAATGGCAACAAAAACTTTCCTCAATTACATTGACTATGGAACTATTCGCTAGGGAATTAATCAGGGACTCCTAAATTTATGCACATAAAAGAATTAGGGCCGAATTCACAGTGCGAAGTTAACTCAGAATCGGCAGTGAATCAGTACAAAAAAATGCTCTGCAATTATGTATAAATATTTTCTAAAAATATTATTTTCCCATGCAGTATCGTACCTCCACTAGCCGCTCTCATACTCTTCTGTACTTTTGTGCTACCCTTGTGGGGATCGGGGCCACAATGGAACTTAGTGGTTGGGCATCATGCAGATATTTGTAAACGCAACTGGTGGCGCAATTTACTTTTCATACACAACTACTTCGGATTCAATGAAATGGTAAGTTTACAAACTTAAATACATATGTACAATGATCTTCCGCTCACGGCAAGGATAATATGATACGAAACACTCTCATTTTTCTTCCGAGAATCTAACGTAATCTCGTTTTTGACTTGGCAGCACTGCCTAATAAATCTGCAATGAACAGCAGATAACGCAAAAGAGCGAGCTGCCACTATTTAGATACGCACAATATGCATCGATTTAATTTCAATGGATTTCCTCCAACCACATAACAAAACTCTTGCTTAAAGATAGTGGTTTTAAGAGAAAATATTTTAAACGGCAATTTTCAACACTAAATAATAAAGAAGATAATAAAATTCAAAAAGGTTTGCTTGTTTTTCAAATAGAAAAAATCACCAAAATCTCCCCATATATATTTCGCTGGACTTTCTTTCACGATAAAAAGAGTTTCGTATCATTTTATCCTTGCCTGCGGTTAGGTCTCCCATGCACATAGAGTGATTATAGTTGAGCTTAGAGGTTAAGTAATCCAGAGCGCTGATATGCGATGATAGAACAAATAAAGTTTTCGAACAATTTAATTAATACGTGGTAACCAGACTTTAATAAAATTCCACTGAATATCATACGTATTCTCTTTCACAGTGTCTTACACATACACATCATCTAGGCATTGACACTGAACTCTTCGCAGTGGCGCCAATAATGATACTAGGTCTATGGAAATGGCCACGAAAAGGACTATTCACCCTTCTGCTACTTGGAGTTATTGGTACCGCCGCCCGCTACTACACAACCATCATAAACCAATTGTCAAACTACATCTATTTCGGAACAAAGTGAGTCTCTACGGATTTTGTTCAGAAACTATGCACGCGTTTTATTACAACGCTTTTATCAACTTACAATGTTGTGTGTCCAGACCACCATTTATACTATAAATATAGCATAGTCTAGATATCAACCTCGTCGTAGGTATAATATCAAAGACATACAATTAGAAAAGCTCTAGAGGTAGATTTCGCCCCGCCAGAAGAAGTTAAATATTGCGCCTAAAAATATGCACTACATATGCTACAGCGGAAATGGACGACACGCCATTTCTCTAAATGAAATTAATTTCTGCTGTATGTATGTATGTACATAGGTATGTATATACCAAACGTGAGCACACAATATTTTGCTTGCATAGGTTCTCTTTTCCCTGCAAGATGAATTATTTTAATATCTATTGCAAAATTTTATATAGACAAGACTAAAAAGTAGAAAATAAATAAAATAAATTGAACTTTTTAATATACCACGCTTTTATAAATGGACTAAAAATTAGAAAATAATATTTCTCAGTCCCATAGAATTTGTTTTGATAACTTTTGATTTTGAAATTTTAGCAAAAGTCATTATAAACAATTTATGAGATTGAAAATCAAAAGCGTGGGGCGCATGTAATAGACCTGAATTGATATGAAGAGTAATACATGTATTTATGTGGGTAAATGAATAACGGCCGCTTAAAATCGATCTCAAATTTGTACTTGTAGAAATTTTAGGTCTATTTTATGTAGTTTCACTATTGTCAATTAAATCGAATGCTTTGTATTGCATGCGCTCCACGTTTTTCGTTCTCAATCTCATAAATTCCTGAAATTTGTAAGTTCTTACTTCTAAAAATGTGCCATTTAGTGTATAAATAGAATTTTTAAAGTTTGGGCCCAATCGGAACATGCCTTCTAGTGCCGTAAGTGCCCTGAAATTTAAAAAAATGAAAACTTTTCGAGAAAATAGGGCATTCTTCTGCTTTAACTTATGACTGATTCTACCTAAAGCTATAAATTTACCATCAGATTAAAGATAATTTTGTTGACTTTCAAGTCAATACATTTTCTTCAATACATACAAAAATGTACGTTTTCGAAGATATTTAATATTTAATGGGTAAAATTGGCTCTAGTATGGCACTTTATAGCAAGACTCCCCAGATTATTTCAAAATATCCAAACCTCAAATGTAAGCAATAGACATATTGAATAGATTTCATTAATAAAAATAGAACAACAAATTACAGTATATTCCGTTTAGCTGCCTATTCGCTTTGGTGCATTTTCCGCTTACGTGCACAATTTTCCCAAAATACTGCTTCATAAAATGGATTTCGGTCGAAATTTTCCGCTTTGGAACCCATTTCCGTTTAACAGTCCTGTTTTTGAGTAAGTTTTCTTATATCACTCTTTTTGCGAACCGATGAAAGCCCAGAAGAATATAATGATGTCCCTGAAGCGACTAGTGTTAAAGAGGCCTTATTCGCATTAAATACCTACATAAAAAAAAAAATTTATGAAAAACAGTATATGGGGTGTTCCATACTAAAACGGACGGGGTTCACACTTCATGTGTTTGATTTGTTTCAAATTTTTAAACATAACATAAACATAAATAATAAATTTGAGCTTGATTAATACATTTTTAAAAACTTTTCAGCACAAAAACCAAAAACAAATTGTTTTAATAGTTTTCCAAATATCTCGAGACCGGGGCGAGGAAAAAATTTGGAAAAAAATAACACATACACACATCAAAATTGCCTATGAAACTAAATATTATTAAAATTTTTTCTTCTTGAAAATTTTTTCACATAATCATTTCTGTGTTCGTATGGAAAAGTAGCTTATGTCGAAAGGCTGGCTTTAGTATAAATCGGCATTCGCAGCATACGATTGCGAACGACTCACTGGCGCTAAGCCGTTGAACAACTTTTGACGAATAAACATGCAAGAAATAGTTCCGATACTAGCAAGTCAATATTCTTATTAAGTCTCATAAAAAAATCCTTGTCGTTTAAAGAATAAAGGGAATGCCGCATTATACTAAAGCCAGCCTCTCGACATAAGCTACTTTTCCATACGAACACAGATTTTTTGATAAAAAGAAATAGTTATTGAAAATATGCCATTTAAAAAAAATTTATAAAAATCACAATGGTAGCTCTGAGGATTGGGCAATATTTAAGTATAGTATTATGGGGTGCACTCTACAATAATTTGAGGTCTGAATTTTTTTACACCGGGGTACATAACAAGTTTACAAATTTTAAATTAATTTTTTGAAATTTTTTCACTATGCAGTTCTGTAGACCATTAAATTTTAGTGTAATAAAGTGCAAGTTTTAAGCTACTGCAAAATTGCGCTGATTTTTTTAATTTTTTTGCTGACGGCTGTTTGCACTTTTTTCTTATGGAAGAAAATGCGCAAAACCGTTTTCAAAGAAAATTAAAAACAAAATTAACGCCGGTTTGGCAATCGCTTAAAACTTGCACTTTATTATACTAAAATTTAATGGGCTACAAAACTGCATACTCAAAAAAACATTCCAAAAACTTCGGTGTAAAAAAAATGCATAACTCAAATTATTGTAGAGTGCACCCCATAATACTATACTTAAATATTGCCCAATACTCAGAGCTGCCACTGTGATTTTTTCAATTTTGTTTGAGATGGCATATTTTCAAAAACTAATTTTTTTATCAAAAAATAAGTATGTGAAAAATTGTTCAAGAAAAAAAAGGTTTTTAATATTTATTTTCATATAGAATTTTGATGTGTGTATGTGTAATTTTTTTCAAATTTTTTCCTCGCTACTCCACTATTAAATCGATTTTTTTTTGGTTTTTTTGGTGTTAAGTTTTTAAAAATGTATTAACCAAGCTCAAATTTCATATTTGTTTATTATTTATGTTTATTCGTCAACCCTAAAAATTTGAAACAAATCAAACACATGAAGTGTGAACCGTTTTGGTATGGAACGCCCCATATATTGAAACAAATTTTAAATCTAAAATAAAACAAACAGTTTTTAATTTTTCCGTTTTGCTGCACATTTCGCTTAACTGCACCAAACAAACAGTGAAAGTTAATGCAGCTAAATGGAATATAGTGTATTAATAAAAATTTTTTAGTATATTTTTTAAGTTTTTTACATGAAAGGTACATTATTTAACAAAAAATACGACAAATGACACAATTCATTTCTGAACAAAGACTTATCGAAAGGAAATTTCACATTGTAAAAACATATATATATTTTACTAATATCTACTATTATTTTCAATATCCCCCATTAGACAAGGGTAAACAACGAGTACTCTTGGAAATGTCAGGGTAAATCCCCCGACAATCCGTTACCACCTGAAGGAGGACTGGTTTTTCTCCTCATCTTTTGTCCTATTTAANCCCCCGACAATCCGTTACCACCTGAAGGAGGACTGGTTTTTCTCCTCATCGTTTGTCCGTGTTTCGAATTGGCTTAAGCTCCCTTTCAGCCGTGTCGTTAACTACCCTCAGTTTTGACTTTAAAATATTCGAAAAGGGACAGGCTTTGATCCGAAACAAACTTTTTAAAAGAGACATCCTGAAACAGTTTCACTCAGGCGCCGTAACAGTTGCAACCATGATACAATAATTTTTATAAGGTACTTTCACTTCAAAAACACGCAATATGGCCAGTACTACGATATAAAACTTGGGGATTTTCGCTTGTTATTTTAGATATTTTTAATAGAACATGTAAAGATTTATATATTTCGTAACTGATCACTTCATTTTTAATATACATATACGTAATTAAAACATACATTCTTGCCACTGCTAATCACATGAATAAAAATCATAAAAACGAAAATATGACGGCAATATTTTCTTTTTGGTTGTTTGTGTTTCCGACAGGGTAGGAGTATGATGTATTGTGGAACGATTTTCCGTCATCCCTTGTCAAATTTGGTTTGGAGACAACGAAAAATGACACTGAACATGGCACAACGCCAAAACCGGTTTGTCTCCAAACCAAATTTAACAAGGGATGACGGAAAATCGTTCCACAATACATCACGGCAATATTTCTTGTTTAAAATGTTTTAGATCCTTCGCACACCGGATTTAATCGGCCCCACGATTAATTTGGTGTAGTGTGCGCACCTCCATACATCTTCATGTACATATTTAAGCGAGCCCTACTATTTAAATATGCGGCCGATAAAGTCTGTGGTACGCGGTGGCTCTTATACATGCTGTATCCTTACATCTATTGCGTGTGTTGCAATATCCACGGAAGCAGCAGTTAATTTTTTCATAATTTTTTATGAAGCAAATTATTAAAAAAATATTAGAAAATTGTATACTTATGTATTTATATGATTGACTTTCCTTTGTTTTATTTTTCCAACGTTAAAAGCTAGACTTTTTTTTTTTTAAGTGGGTACAACCAAAAATACGAAACACGTTTTCTGTCAGATAGCTAACATGGCGGATAAGAAGAAGTTAAACTACCTTCTAAAAATTATTGTATCTTGGTTACAACTTTTATTATAAAAGTCGCTATTTAACAATTATTTTTTTTACTTTTATTGGATTATTCCTTAAATAACAGTTACGTCTGATTTTTGATTTGTAACTAAATAATCTAAAAATAAATGTTACTTTAAATTTTTGTATTATATGTTACAGTTACTGAAGACTTTTATTTATAAAAGTCATAAATGAAAATCATTCAGTGGCTTACTTACAAAAGTCATCAAAAAAAAAATCCAAGCTTACCAAGATTTAACAAACAATAAACTGAAAACAAAAAAATACGAAATATTTAAATCGTAATATGTATGTACTCCATAAACCTTACCAGAAAGGTGCCTGTACCATTAAATGTTAAGTATCTTCGAAACCGTACATTTTTAAAGAAAATGTATTATAATTTACTTTAAATACAATAAAATTACCTTTTATCTGATGGGGGACTTATAGCTTTATATACAATTAGTCGTAAGACAAAACAGAAAAATATCGTACTTTC